AAAAGCAGAAGAAACTGAGGGGTGACAACAGGGAAGTACACTTCTCAACATCAAAGTGCATCTTAAACATGAGAAAAGCCTTTGAGGAGTAGTTCTGGCTACTAAGGGAATCAATAGCAGGCACGTTTCACTCAAAACAGAAATGGAAAGGGCTAAACACAGAGGTGCAACAGGAACATTCTGCTGCATCTCCAGATGATATTCCTCCAGGCAGTATAACAAAAGATAGGATGTTCCAGCATAGAAATACCATATTCAAGAATTCCATGAAGGGAGACAAGACTGGGCTCTTCTCTGCTAAAAGTTTTTAAGCAGAGGCTGGATTGCCATGGTGGAGGAGGATGGAGCAGATGGCCTAGAAAGTCCCTTCCTAGTATAGAACTCTGTGACTAACACAAGTGCCTGTAAAGATTTCATGTTTATTTGTGTGTGTGTCTTTAAAAGTTTGGTTTACATTGCTGTGTAAAAGTCTAACGTGGTTGAAACAGGCAAGTGGTGTGATTGGTGAGTGACAGAGAGGGGGAGGGGTTTTGGAATGGATGCTGTGTGGATGATTTGAATGTCTATCAGGAGTGACTGTTAGAGTTTAGACAGTTAGGCAGACAGTTGATAAAGTCAGTCAGCAGAGAGTGCTGTGTAAAAGCAGTTGATATGAGTTTGAGTTCTGATTTCTGTGAGAGAAGCAGAAGAGGAGTTAAGTTCTGTCTCTGAGTTGAAGGAGACTCATCCCTGTGTGTGAAAAGAGTGACATTTAGTTCTGTGTTATAAGAGTTACAATTGAAAGCTGAGAGTCTAGGAAAAAGAACAGTGAAAAGTGTTACAAAGTTGCCTATGAAAAATCCCTGTCAGTAGAGAGAAGCTTGTGAGAGACACTAAGCCATTGTTCAAATCATTCCCAGTACTGTTTACATTGTTTACCCTCGTGTTTATACTTTCGTTAAATAAATCCTATTTTCTTCAAGTACACCAGCTCAGTAAAGAATCCTTCCTCAGACCACATAGACCTTCATGAAAGCCCAGACCCTGGGTCACAATACCAAAACCAGACGAAGAAAGTATAAAGGTTTGGAAAGCCTAAATTTTCCTGGTGGCAGCCAGATTACCCTGAGAGTAAAACATAAAGAACACTTTAAAAGGAAAACTAGACCTCCCTAAGAGAAGAGGTCGTCACAGTGCCTATTACACACAAACCTTCTGCATTCAAGAGGAGGAGCAAAGACATCATTCCTGACATGGAGTACTCTGAAGCTGGCCACACTGAACTGAGTGAGCATTCCTCAGAACTGCATGGGGTTTTTGTTGGTTATGAAAAATTCTGAAAAGCACGTTCTTGTCAGTTTGAGGAACAGTAAACCTCATGGGGAGGGGCTATCGCTTAGGTTTGCCCATTGAAAGAAGCTGCTTGTGGTCGCCGTAAAGCCTAAGCACCCACCAATTACTTCTTGAATGAATTTACAAAAACCAGTCTGCTACTGCTATGGCTGGAGAACAAGCACCCAGTCAGGCAGGCAAAACTGCCGGAGGCTCTTGCTGCTCAGCTGTGGAAGACGTTTTCATTTTGTTTGGGTTAGAATTGTTCACTTCTGGACTGCTTTACTAAGGTCTTTTACAGCAACTTTTAGAACGCCCATTTAAATGCAGACAGCCCAACAATTAAAGGGTAACAACCGTAGAACTAGATATTTGTGTCAAATGTTCAAAATACCAGAAACATAGAATTAAAGGAATATTAAATACACACCGAAACACTACAAGGCTGAGGGGCGGTGAGCCTGAACATTTTCTGTTAAGTTGTTGCTAGCATCTCATGGGACCTGCACACATAACCTACAACCCAACCACCCACAAATTGTTTCATGATTACTCTTGACTACATCCACAAGAACCCATTAGTTGCAATGGCTGGGAAATATATAGCTTAGGCAGGCAAAACTGTCATGGGTTACAGGGACAGTTAAAGGGTGTGTAGACTGCATCTAGCTCATGAAGTGATGGACTAGCTCTTAACTAACAGTGCTAGTTAATACCTGGCACTGCAGAAAAACAGTCTGGTCCAAGAAGGTCAGAAGCAGCAGTCCCCTGTGCTGCTGCAAGACACAGTGATGTGTGCTTTCACTCTGGAGCACAGCCTTAACAATGATATTATGGCTAGGCAGGATCCAGCCGAGAGTCGTGCTGCCGTACAGTTTGGAGTTACGGCATATACCCCTTCCCTGAGGCTGGGAAGCTGCCCATTCTTTCTAACAGGGTACCTGGATCATCTAAGTATCTAATTTTGAATACAGCCTCAGAACAAGGATCAAAAAATCTGCACAATGGGGCCAGGTACAGAGAAGTGAGATGTGTCTACAAATCTGAAGGAAACCTCAGGTCTGCAAAAAAATCTTAAAGGAGAAGATAAAATTAAATAGCAAGATTGAAAATTCTGAGACCTTGTGAGATTACCTCATGAGATCCTGGCAGCTATTTCATATCAGATAACCACAGAATAGGGTTGCCATGCCCACCCACCCCCCACTCACCAGCAGGGGATGTGGGGGTGAGGCGGCTTTGCCAGCTCCATTTTGGGAAACTTCTGTGAATTTGCGTGGTGGTGGCTGGGGAGGACAGGGTCCTCAGTGGGGTACAGTGCCACAAGCCCACCCTCCAAAGCACTAGGCTTACCAAACGCCGGCGGGGGAAAACTATTTCCTGGCAGGATGCGTGCGACGGCGGGTGCAGCGCGCACAGCCGTCCCCCGCGGCACGCATCCTGCCAGGAAATAGTTTTCCCCCGCCGGCGTTTGGTAAGCCTACAAAGCACCCACTTTATCCAGGGTGACTGATTGCTGTAATTTCGAGATGAACAATAATTTCAGGGGATGCCCAGGTCCCACCCTGGAGGATGGCATCCCTCTGTAGATAACATCACCTAAGTAATCCAAAATGACTGCTGCAGCTTCATTTTGAAACTGGAAGCATATTGGGAGGGAAAGAAAGAGAGGGCAGGCAGGAAAGATGAGTAGGAAGTCAGGGTGCGTGTGTAAAGCCAGAGTGGAGAAAGCCAAATAAAAATGGAGCAAAAAGGGAGGAGAGAGATGGAGACTGGAGTGATGGAAGCATGCAAAGGGTAACAGAAGGAAGGAAAGACAGGAGGGAAAGCTGCTGGAAGACGCAAAGGGGTTGCATGGGTTGATATAGGGAGAAACAATCCTTCAAGTTTGTGGGCCCTAGTAGTCCATCCTTGAGGTTACGGTAGTATGAATCAGAGTGACCAGATCTGCTGAATTCACAAGGAAATACAGTTCCCCTACCTGATGCAACTGGGGGAAAAGCACTCTCCGCTACTTTGCCAGCTTGTTTTCTCCAGCTACAGAGCTGGATCAAGAAGCAAACCTAAGCTCTTAGCTGAGTCAGCTAAAGAAAGCTTTACTCCATCCAAAGCAGGGCAGCACAATCCCTTTCAGAACATCAGCCTTACCAGACAGCATCACCTCCATATTATCTGAATTCAGCTTTAACTAAATACTCTTAACATTCAATCTTAAGTGAAGTTACACCTCCTAAGGGTGTCACTGTGCTTAGGACTGTACTGTTAAGTCACCTTGGGGAGCATATTTTGAAATACAGAAAATACAATACATATATAATGCCACTTAGCACTTATAACAAAGTTAGAGTCCAATGGCACCTTTAGGACCAACAAATTTTTATTCAAGATGTGAGCTTTTATGTGCATGCAAACGTCGTCAGACAATGAAATGGAATAACATATCACAGTTATATAAGCCGCCCTGAGCTGGCCTTGCTGGGAGGGAGGGGTAAAAATCTAATAAATAAATAAAATATATACATATAGGGGTGGCTTGTTAAATTAGCATGCAAAATACTGAAAATATTTTTTTAAACAGATCAAATGAATGGCATGCTTGGTTTCTGGTTAACATCTGTTTTGGTTCAACTAGGGGGGGGAACCACATAGATAATAAATATGTTAGAACTGGAGATTGATGTGTCCTAATTTGTGAGAATCCCATCCTTAGACCCCCATCCATCTCCTCTCTAGCATGGAGGCAAACATTGTCTGACGAGCAAAGTTTGAGTCCAATGGCACCTTTAAGACTAACAAAGTTTTATTCACGATTAAATGGAATTATGTATCATAGTTATATGTAATTCCATTTCATCGTCTGATAAAGTGTGCATGCACCCCAAAGCTCACACCTTGAATAAAACTTTGTTGGTCTTAAAGGTGCCACTGGACCAGAGGTCGATTCGGGGGGAATCGCGGGGGATCGCAGTTCCCCCGGGCGAGGTGCAGGGGGCGGGGCACATGACGAAGCCCCGCCCCCCGCTTCCGGCCGCCCCACTTCCGGCCCTCATTCAGCCACGAGGAGGCAGGAGAAGAGGGAGGGTAAGTTGCTTCCTCCCCGCCTCTCCCCACCCCTGCCTGCCTGGGGCCAGGGAGGGCCTTGGCGGGGCTTCCTCGCACTCCCGCCGGCCTTGCAGGTCTACCGCCGGGCCCCTGATGTCAGGGGGTGTGGCATATGCTAATGAGTTCCCCTAGCTCTTTTTCTACGAAACTACCCCTGCACTGGACTCTAACTTTGTTGTATTGCTTCAGACCAACACAGCTGCCCACCTTGACTTAGCACTTATGTAAGCATTCCTGTGTGAGGTCAAAGAGCTTCTTGTACATAATTTTGTAAATCCTTACAATAGCAGCCTTGTCAGGTAGATCTGTATTATTATCTCCATATTGCTGAGAAAGGGGCAAAGGTTGAAACACTGAGTACTTTGGAAAGGCAAAATTCAGACCAGAAAATTGCTGGCTCACAGCCTGATCCTATGCATATTAACACGGAACCAGGTTCTACTAAGTTCAACAGGGTGAATTTGCAAGTAAATGTACATCAGATTGCATGTTCTCTGAACTCTTCTTCTACCACTCCCATTATTGACCTCACAGTACCCATTTTAAGAGCTCATAGCCTAAAAGGCTTTATTCCCTTTCTTTCATACCTTGACAATCTCTTGAGCGATCTGCCTTGTTTTGTTGACGTCCAGGATGACTTTCGCATCTCTCACCACTGAATAGAGTGTCCGTCCTTTGCACAAGCTGAAAGAAGAGAAGAACTGTAACTTCACCCATTATGAAAAGGGGGAAACCAAACTCATTAGAAGTTCCATGAGATCTCAGCAGAGAAACTTCAGAAGAGAACAGAGGAAGTATCTTGGTTTCTTACCAAAAGCAACTGCACCAATTTGGGACTCTCATACAAAGCTGGTCCATTTAGCTCAGTACTGTTTACAGCGACTGACAGCAGCTTTCCAGGGTCTTGGGCAAAGAAAGGGCTTTCCTAGTAACTGCTAGCGAAGCATTCTTCAACAGCATTTACCAAGGACTGTGGTCTGGACTTTCTCCATGTATAACAGGTGCTGAAACACTAAGACCGATTTCCCACAGTCTAAGACACAGTCCCTTTTCTGTCTATGGCAAAGGAAGGTCAGGACCAAACGACACATGACGATGGATTTGTGACTGGATACCCCAAAATATAATTTACCACTCATAGACTATTTTAGAAGGGAATTAAGATTCATGAAGGAAAGACCCATAAATGACTACTAGTCAAGCTGACTAAAAGGGGAACCTCCAAATACCAGTGCTAGAAGGCAACATCAGAGGAAGGCCTTGGCCTCTGTGCCTCATTGGTTTGGTTGTCCAGGGCAACTGGTTGTGAAACAGGATGCTGGAGTAGATGGTGGAGTAGATGGATAACTGGTCTGATCCAGATGGGGTCTTCTGGTGTTCTCATTAAGCATCTGTATGTGCACGTGTGTGTGATCTTCATATGGATTGGGACTAGAGTGCTTGGAAATTAGGTTTAACACACTTTCCCTGCACCACTTTCCTGATCAACATGGATTCCCTGGCTACTTTTATCCTCAGATAGGGAGGGAAAAATACCAGCACACTACAGACATCAGTAAGCAGAATGGGGTATGTGGGGGAGAGTTTTGATCAGGGAGTTAGAAACACCTTTCCCCCCAGGACCATGGTTCCAATTTATCCATAGCCCTTGAAGCTGCTTTTTAAGCATCATGAGATGCCATCACAGATAACTATCATTGTGTAGTTTGGCCCTATGTTGCATCTGGGTTGGGATAGATGTTTTTGCTTACTCCCCATCTCCCTAGCTTTTTCCATTCCTCAGCCCCAAGCCAGACAGCGTAGGCCTTCTTGTAACTGTTGCACATAGAACCGAGACCACAGGGAAGGATGAAAAGTAGTAGCAACCATATACTGGGTAAGATTCACCTATCTTCCTTTGCATACCTGTTGCACAGAGATCTATTTATGGAGTCTTAATTACCAAATGCAGCTGCCAGGAAGGGGGGAGGGAAAAGGGGGGGGACACCCTGAAACCAATTAAAATTGTATTGACATTTGAATCATGTAATGGAGTCTGTGGGTGGATTCTGCATCAACTTTTTCCCCACAAAAGAGAGCTGCCCTCCCCCTGAGGTTCTCATGCCCACCTACGCTCATTACAGGCAACTCGAGAAAAAGCAAATGAAATACCTGAGCCCGGATAATAAACCACCAAAAATAAAACCAGCTCAGAGAATCACAGGTGTTAATTTGATCTGGTTCTACAGCGAACGACAGAAGCATGGCAGTTTTTAACTGTTCTTGCCTCCCACCCACCATGGCAGCCTTCTCATCTCTTCAACTTCTTCCTCCCCCAGCTCATGACACTGGAGGCAGGAGCTCGCCCTCCAGAAGCCATGCTCAAAGGGTTCGGAGGCAGCGGACTTGCATGGAACAAGCTTTGAAAGAGGGCATTCAGCCGTCACAAATTTAGTCTAAGTTCTGGATTCCTTCAGTCCTTTCAAACTCTCTCATTTGGCTCCAGTTCAGACAAGCGAGCCTAAAATAAATGCTTTTGTAACAAGTTGATTGCCAAGGCCATAAGTCATCCACAAAGAAATTAAAAACAAGTGAAATAAAACTGTTTCCAGAAATATTCCTCAACAGTTTTGTTAACAGATAAGAAATTCAACTACTTTTTTTTAAAAAAAGCGGCTCAGATGTGTTTAATAAAGCTTATGTCATTAAAGGCTGCTATCAGCATTTGCAGACTTTAATTCCAACTTGCAACAAGGCACCAACTTTTAATTTTTTACAGTCTCATTTTAAAATATCCAGAGAAAATATAGGAATGATTTAAGGGAGAATTAAATCCTGGAAAGTATTTCCTGACAAAAAGGAAATATAGAAATCTGGAAAGAAAGAAATGGAAGTGGGACTGTTGGGGATGCCTCCAAAACTCTCCTCGAACCAAATTATGAACCAAATCTAATGACAGACTGGACCAGTTTGTGCATTTGCGAACCACAATTCGTGCAATCGTGCTGTTCGCAAATTGTCCACGAACCACCATGGTTTTTGCGGTGGCTCATTTGGTTTGTGAGAGGGTTCATGGACCAGACATGCTGGCGCCCAAGGCAACAGTTGGGAACCCTTTAAAGCTGTGCCGCAACTTGCCAGTGAGCTCAGAAGGCACTGGAGTGAGCTCCAATTAACTTCCAGACTTTAAAAAGCTGCCTGTTCTTATAGAGGTTGAAAAAGAGGCCTAACTGATTTTGAAAAAATAATCACCCAATGGAAAGATCACCTACTAGGACAAATCTACAAACTTCTGCTTCGATATGATACAGAGACTGAACAAGTTAGGATGTGTATGTTGAAATGGATCCAGAATTTTGGGCAAGAGATAACATTTCAACAATGGGAAAACTTATGAATGAGAACTATAAAATTCACTGCGAGTGAAGCACTAAGAGAAAATTGGCATAAGATGTTTTATTGATGCTATATTACTCCTAAAGATATTAAAAACATGGCCAAGAATTATACAGGGACGTGCTGGAAATGCAAAGAGGTAGACGGCACCTTCTATCACATGTGGTTGCGAGGCCTTCTTGAGGAAATCCCTTAGATTTCTATAAGTAATAATCAACCAGTCCTCATGTATCAAAAGTATTATCCAGTCAACTTGAATATATGCTGAAGAACCTCCATTTATCCCTGCTGAGTGGCAGCTTTATCTCTTTCAGTTCTCGGTGAAAAATCGCTGTCTTTTTGCTGTGTCAGAAGAAATGCCATGTTTTACAGGCATTATTCTGTCAGTTTGAACAAAAGAGTATGCTTCCGCAGACATGAAGACAGGATTTATTTATGAAGGTGTGAATCTATCTAAACCAATAATTGCAAGCTATGAAGACTTAAAAGTATAGTCTTTTGACCTTAATGGCCTGTGGGGCAAATACATTTGCCACATTTTGTTCACATGTACAATCTTTTATTAAGAATCAAAACGAAAAGAAAGTGCTGTATCAAGCAACAGGGGAAAAAGCCAGCAGAGTGATAGAAAAGAGCAGAAATGTATTGAGTTAATAATCCCCATGTGTTTCACGTTAGTTTCCTCAGGGGATCTAGTAAAGGAGATCCCCTTAAGAATCAAGTACAAGATAGCAGCCAAAGTCAGCTACGTACAGCACTGATTAGCAACTCCCTGTGGAGTCACACAGCCTCTTCCTCATCCCTTCTGAATCTGGTTTTCAAATGACATAATACTATAAAATCACCACCCCAATGTCCTGTTTGGCTGAAAAGGTACCATATTTACTTAAAAGCAGGGCTATTTTTGGGCAGGAACGCACAGGAACGGAGTTCCGGCTGGCTCCTGAGTTGGCCACACCTAGCAGGAACTCATTAGCATAATAGGCCACACCCAACAGCAGAAACTCATTAGGATTGGCTACAGTAGGCATGTGTGGCCTAACATGCAAAGGAGTCCCTGCTACAAAAAAAAGCCCTGGGTTTTGACAACAAACAAGGTAAACAGAATAAGAAGCAAAAGGTGGGTGTGGCTGGATGACCACACTTCTGGCAACACGGGGCTGCGGCCTAATATGCTAATGAGTTTCAGCTGTTGGGTGTGGCCTATTATGCTAATGAGTTCCTGCTGGGCTTTTTCTACAAAAAAAGCCCTGCTTAAAAGGCAGATGACCCTGAAAGTAAGATGATCCCCCCCCAAAAAAAAAATATTACTCGTATAACTGTTAAGTTGTATGTGAATGTGAGATTACCTCTTCTTTCTTTATGGCATACCTGGGGGAAAATCTGGTCTTACATTTGAATAAATATAGTAAGTCAGTAAAAAAGCTCAAGACTCATACAGTTGGATCTCCTGGATCTGTTTTTTCCTCCCCCTCCCCCACTCTGGCACAGGGCAGAAGAGCCTCTTGCATCCGAGGAAGCTGCTGTCGTTAAAACAACAGATTTGTGGGATCCAACCCACAATTAGATGGACGGGTCCAAAAGTCAGAGGAAGACTGGAATCCTACAAAAACAGGTCTGGCCCAAGGATAATGCGTTTTCCCTGGATAACTACCCCAGTGTGCCGGTCTCCCCCTAACAATATGGAAGATGGAACTGCCTAGCTGGATCCCAGTTCCAAAGAGCAACGAAACTTTGCAGCCCTTTCCTCCATGCCTGCTCCACATTCCCTTGTCTCAGCTCATCTAGCTAGCAGTAGGGCCTCTGAACCCTGCTGGCAGGAAGGAGTGTCTGTGCGGTTGTCCCATTCCTCCCCTCTGAAGAGAGCCTCTGCGAATCAAGCAGCCAATGAGGCTTCAGAAAGGCATTCAAAGCAACACTGAAGGAAGCCGTGGCAGAAATTAATGAGACAAGGAATGGAAACAGTCCATCTTTCATGGCCTTTGCCGAGGAGGTTCATGCCTCTGAGCAGATGGTCTCTAATAAAAATAACACAAAGGCAAACAGAGAAGGAAGGGAAGGGGGGAAGCTCTGCTTGTGTCTTACTTTAAAAAAAACCCCAGCAACAATAAAACCACAAGAGTGGAATGCTCCTAGAGGGCCTTTTGCTACTGAAGAGCAACTACAACTGCTACTAGCTACGGTGGCTAAAGGGAACCTCCCTATTCAGAAGGATAAACCTTTGAATCCTGGTGCTCAGAGGCAGCATCAGGGGAAGGCCTTGGCCTCTATGTCTTCAGAGCAACTGGCTGGCCACTGTGTGAAACAGA